TTGTCATTTTTAAGACTATCAAATAGATACATATTCGTGTCTCCAATTTGGATGAAAAATCTCCTCTTCAGTGTCGCTAATCTTTTTCTTGGTCCAATTAGCGATATTTTGCAAAGTATAACGAAAATGTTTACTTATTTATTGCTCTTTTACAGATGGAGGTGCTCGTTTGGAAAACAAAAAGTATGTCAGTATGACGCATAATTTGTTCTGAAGCAAAACAGTTCCACGTTGGTGTTTCGGTAGCATTCAGTCAATTATTGCACTGACGAATTAGATTAGTATTTACCTTCTAAAGTACATCTTGCATCAAATAGCGCCGACATGTCTCTCAACGGTTCAGATCATGCCTCTAGTGGTCTATTAGATCATTTAAGTCATTCGAAAACATTCAAATTTAATTTGTTTTTATCAAATGTTTATCAAGCTTGATAACTAAGAAAGTTTTTCCTTTAGTCTTAGCAAAATTTATTTCAATTAGATATCAAATGACTTAAACACCATTTTTTGTAGATAAACATTTTGATTTGAACTGTATAATCTTTGAATTATATGAATAAAAATGTGCATATTTCATAAGTATAATAGTTTTATTTTATCACTCATTTTGTTGGCAAATGAATCGTTCCATAACTTAACCCCACGCCGGCCCAATATGACTTTCTTTCCTTGAATGCTACGTCTCACAGCAAAACCTTGGTGCTTTTAATATTATACTTTTGAATCATGCACAATGCAATACGGAAAGGAGTTCAAACATATTGTAACCCTTAAACGTTCTTTCTTATTGATTGCAATACCTTTCCGTTTCATAAAGTAATAATAATAGCAATCAATAAACATATGCACAGAAAGAAGCGTTATACAATTTTAGAAAGTAACATATATACAAGTGTGTACATTAAACAGACATTGACACTTTATATATTACAACTATATTCGATAATATGTCGTAAATTAATCTGCCACACTAACACAATTGTCTTTCATTGATCACCACGAAGGAACATCTCTACGGCAAGCAAAATGATTATTACAATAAGGCCGAGATGTTACTGTGCTCCAAATGCATACAAAAACGATCACAAGAACTGGTTAGCAGTCTGCAATGACTTTTAACGAAACAAAAGAAATGTGACATTAATCTGGTGGACACATTTATTGAAATTAATATTATATTTACAATGGTGATTCTCAAACAAGGATGTACTATACGTTGATAGATACTAGATATTGTTTTATCTATGTTAACCGACATATATCATGCCAGACGTATTCGGATTCTACATTTCTGCTAAATTATGAAGAACATAATTCAGGTGCATCTTGACTAGCTGCAAAAGCGAAACTATACAGACCAGATCAATTTCTCCTGTGCTGGACTCGAGTGACAACAATTACTTGAACCTCTTTATTTCCCTAAACCGAAAAATTTATGTTGCATTATTGTAATAAAATAGTTATTGAGTTATATTTAGGTTTTATTGAATTTCATCTAAGGCGTAATTTGTTCAGGTCTTTAGTAGTCGTTGTTAGCAATATGGAGCACTCACTGAGTAAAGCTTAGTTGGAAAGTAAGCTTGTTGGTCCACTTGCCTTCTTAAATTTCCAGGAATCCTAGAATAGTTATGAGATAGTTATTGAGTTATATCCACTTGTGCAGCCACAAGTGCTTTTCTTCACCAAAGACATGGAATATATATATTATTTACCAGGAACCTTCAAATTTGCTTTCTTTAACGCCAATATGTATTGGCCATCAATATGAATAATAGAGTGAAGCAGCATATTACTTACAGTAACCACGCGATAATGTGAAATGTGTGCCGTTATTATCCTGATATGTTTAGTACGCGGAAATTATCAGTTGTAACATATTTATATTCCCAAATTCACGACATGAATATACTTAAAGAAAATAAATAATATGAAACCTCAGCGTATTGCTAAAATTAAATCGGATAATCCAACCTGGCGGCTGGCCAAGCCCTCAACCGAACAATTCAAGCAACAAAGTTACAGATCAAATGGCTTTTTCATGCTGTTGTCGCTGTATATTGATCTAATTAAAAAGGGTATTTGGCATTGTTTGATGGAATTTATAACAAAAAGCAAGCTAATCCAAGGGCAAGCATGACATAAATGTCAATATTTTATGCTAGAGGATGCAACCAATAGCCCAGGTAAAATCTGTATAATAATTTTTGTTCTCTTTCGAATTGTATACCTTGTTGCAAAATACAATAATTCAATTTTTAAACTTAGTATCATGTTTTAATTCATATCAGCAATATACACATCATCTATACATAAACAGAAATAATAATCAAAGGGTTCTTTTTTATGTACATTCAACATTCACAGAATATATTCATCTTGTGTCTCTTGATTTACAACAAAAAGTTACAAAATTATGTGGAACAACTATTGTGTATTACAGCTGAGCGATATATATATATATATATATATATATATATATATATATATATATATATATATATATATATATATATATATATATATATATATATATATATATATATATATATATTGATGCATCAATAACTGTAAATAGATTTTTAAAAGGTATTTGCAGGTCTTTGATAATAAAGTTTATTTGAGCTGCTGCCATCATTTTTCAAGGGTTGGTGTTGGGTTAGTTTCGATTATATGAAATATTATTTGCAAAATGTTATAGTGGCTTTAACGGTCCTATTAATAAATGTGTCACTGGAGAATTGTTCTTCCTGCAGTCATAATTAATCCTTGATTATATTTGGTAAGTCGTTATTGATGTTATTGCTATTATTCTATAACTTTATGCGAGATATTGCAATAAGATATCTTGATACATTTACTAAATTTATTATACCGTATTGGCTATGAATGTATATTCCTTGCAGTTGCAGTGAAGTCAATTTGCATATTTCTCTAAGTAGAAAATGACAACCAATAGGAATTGACATTTGAAAACATGTAATTTTTAAATCAACGCTTATCCATAAAGGGACTATAGGTCACGCATTCTTGCAGGTTTTTGTTTCAGAGCCCATAAAGTATGCATCTTTTTATTGACTAGATGATAGACTTGTTAGGTAAGATAGAATCAGTCATGTAGAACTAACTAATGTTTGCCATTTATATTTCATGTTCATCAGTAGTGTTGGTCTAAATATGACTTTATACATTTTTCCGCTCTATAGAAAGCAATGCGTGGGGGAGGGGGTAATCTCGAAGAGCCAAAACGCACAGATTTTTTTGTCTTCTAGGTAATCTGTTATGCAGATGCACTATATGAGTCTAACGACCTTTCATGAGAACGTATCTCGTATGACATTTTTCATTGAATGCATACAATTTCATTATTACAAGTTCAAGCACTTTTTTTAAGTCCTGTAGTGTTTCTTACGAGTTTTACTATTTCGGTCACTACTTGTAATCCAAAGAGATAAGATCAATATAAATGTGAAGGAAAGAGTAATATTATTTTAATTGTATTAGGACCTGTGTTGAAGTGTATGTTTTACGCTGTCACACATGTTCAAAAATAGGAATAACTGACTTACCTGTGACACAAATTACATAGATATGCCTTTATATAATTGTGGATGTTTCTTTATCTTTTATATATTTAATATTCTTGCAATCTTGAAAATCGATGAACAACAATGTAATTACATTAATATTGTTCTGTTAACGGAATTGGGAACCTCAGAAAAAATATCAGTGACCGCGAAGCTTGAACCAGAGAATGCAATTAAATTGCTTCATCCTAATATTAGAAGAATTAGAAACAAATTGTACGCTATTTAAGAAGTTGTGGATGAATTCACTTGAATGTGAATTTAATTCAAAGTAAGTTTATTGATAGGGTTGCCAGATACGTCTTCAATTACATATATTTCGAACTTAACTGCATAAGGACAGAACAAACATGGACAGAGGAGTAGGATTGAATGCAATGAAAATGTTACAACCAATTAGACGACTCAATTTTGAGCAACAGTTTAGAGAGTCTTTGGTCGAGAACAAGTTCTAAAAGAATTAGTTTTCTTGCATTCCTTTTTTTTTGCAGATCACCCAATAATATATTATGTATTAGATTTTGTAATGCTATATATTATGATCGACAGAGATATGAACTCTGCACAAATGTTATCCCATTGGGAGATTTTAATGAACACCCAATATCTGAATGTGTGTATCTTCCAAAAGATAAGTAATATAATTTATCCCAAATTACTACAGTGGTAATCAACTCCTCAGCTTTGTTCGACAACACATTTATTACCAATAGCATCAAACTCATAGAAATAAATACAAATTATTTAGTAGTGATAATATAATAAATGTGTGTTCTGTAGATTTATCAGTGAACCTTGATCAACGTTTCAAAGAAATTATTTGGAGTTCTAGGAATTCAGACTTTAATAAATTAATGGTGAGCACAATGTATCTAATTGGGATGAATTATTTGCTCACTGCATGGATTGTAATGGCTGTTTTTGCACTTGGAACAATATTTTCTCATCATTTATTAAATATAGCATTCGAGATGAAAAGGTTGTGATAATGCCAGACAATAGAGACATGAGGTAATAAAGGGAGAGAACGCTTTGAAAGGCTATCTGTACCAGCATACCTGACCGATATAACAAATACAAAATTTAATAAATAAAGCTAACATGAAAATGAAAATAACAACAATTTACTTTTAATTTCAATGCGAACCTAAAGTAAACAACCCATTAATGGTTGCAGAATCGATATGTATTCACGATAATATCAAAGTCTACGTGCCAAATAATACTTATACAGTCCTCACACTCGCCAGCTAAATTATTTTCAAGCAATGATATTGAAGAAACCTGAAATTTTCATATCCTGTTCTGTGTCAGTATGGATTATCCGTGATAAAAAAAAAAAAAAACTTTCAGGGCTGAACAATAGGACTTCTCATTAATTATCATTTATTAGGGTTACTGTACAAGACGTCAACCGCTTCGGTTGATTAGTGGTTACAGCGTCCGCCTCGGATGCGGGTGGTCGTGGGTTATATCCCCGGTCGAGTCATACCAAAGACTTACAAAAATGGTACTAACAGCTTCTTCGCTTGGCGCTCAGCGTTAAGAGGTTAGTGTTAGGACTGGTCGGCCTGGTGTCAGGATAAAGTGACTGGGTGGGATATCATGTTACATGTCTGCGGCATGATGTCCCATTGCTAGACATTACTATAAACTGCCTACTTTTACAATTCATTTCCATCCTTCCAAGCATTAGTATAACTGAACGAATAGTGACATTTATGATACAGAACGGTGTTGTGGCTTTTTAGTGAAATATTTATATTTAACCTGAGACTTATATCGCCACATACGTTAAAATTCGTGATTATGATGCAATGGTTTGATACAAAGGTACTAATAAATACATCCTCAATGCTGGAGACGCATAATATTATACTTTTTGGTTCCGCATAGCTGCAACTGCCAACAAAATTTGTATAACGTACATGGTAGTATATTGCTATTTTGGATTCATTATCGACATTTATAACATTGCACGATATCAATGTGAAGAATATGAGTTCCTTAATGTAATTAATTAAACTTCTGAATATTTGAAGTTGCCTCTATATGGATCGTCGAAAGGGGCAGTACAGTTTTGATTGTTTTCCAGTTTTCTCCGATTTTAATATTGAATATAAGTTATTTTGCTGATGCTATTTAGCACAGATACCCAGGTTGATTATGTAGTGTATGTGCTACAGACTTTAGTATATTATCTATTTTTCATATATGTACGGTTTTGTTAATAAAGTAGAGCATGGCAATTGCTTTGTGAGACTTAAAAGAAGGATGCTAATAACAACATAACTATTAACTATGACTAACTGTTTGTAACTGTGAAAAAGAAAGAAAATAAAATAGGAACATTATTCTCATTATGAATTCAGAAAGGTTAAGCTAAACAATTTATAAGCTATTATTGCATTTTTGCATGCGCAATGATGCACGACTATTAAATAAATTAAATCATAGGGTGCTTTTACATAAAGTTAATATAGCCTATTATTTGATAGTCTGGGGTCTTGGGGTTTTAAGAGCTAGACGTACGAGAGAGAGAGAGAGAGAGAGAGAGAGAGAGAGAGAGAGAGAGAGAGAGAGAGAGAGAGAGAGAGAGAGAGAGAGAGAGAGAGAGAGAGAGAGAGGGGGGTAACGTAGCTTTAAAAATTTGCCACAGACATTTTAACAATTATGTCCCACACAGTCACAATATCTTTACACCAGGCCGACTAGTCATAACACTAACCTCTTAATGCTGAGCGCCTAGCGATGCAGCTGCATGTTCCATTTTTATAAGTCTTTAGTATTACTCTTCCTAGGTGCTGGTCTCTAACCACTAGGCCACCGGAGTAGAGAGAGAGAGAGAGAGAGAGAGAGATGTATATTTATGACGTCTGAAGTGTACCCAGTTTTGTAATAATTCTTATGTTGGTTGATGCGGCATTAGGCCTTTTCATCAGTAGCAGTATGTTACACGTTTCAAATTGTGTCTTCAGCGTACATCCCATCTAGATCTCTATTCAACCATTTTACAGATGTTAGATCCAGATTTAGACTGACATACAGTGTATTATATTATATACCCGTCTTTTCTCACATGTTTGATCTGAAATTTAATCCAGTCAGCATTTCAAAATCACAATTATATTAGAAATATCTAGATGTTTCCATTGAGGTCCTTGTGTTGATATTTTTGTTGCAGATAATCGAACTTGTGTAAGTGCCAATTCCTTTTCTACTTTCATTCATTATATAAAGCTAACACTATCTAGAAAGGATACAAAAGGGAAACATATATTAATAATTACAACACTGCATTTTAGTTCTTTTTTTTATTCTGAGTAAGACAAACGAACTCTTGAAATTGCTAAAGAATAAATCACGGTCAGACATCATCGATGTATCCCTGTGTCATATCACATTGTACATTTTCGTCCACTTTGAATAAAAATGCATACGAAGTTTTTCTTATTATGTCTAACATGTCTACCTCGACTCATGATGCTTTTACCAGATAGATATTTGCATCTGTATTTTGTGTACAGTTTGGTACACAAGTTATTAGATCATTTAGTGTTTGATTCACCTACGGGTGGAGGTATAGGTTTATGCACAAATTTAATGATGTATACACCTGAATAATATAAATTTCGCAAAAATTAAAATACTTTAGTGAGGTTTAAAAAAAATTATATTTCAAATGAATAATAAAGCGAAATATACGAATATCATTCACCTGACCTAACGAGTCAGTTGAATAAAATGTTTATACATCCCACCTCCAATTTTATATTGTTTTTCATGTATGAAAAACGATTTTGAGAACACGTGATACTCACAGTGCAAATAAAAGGTCATTCTCTTAGTGATAATTTATGTTCTTAATAGCATGGTGCAATTCAAAATAGTTGTCATTCGGGCTGTTTTTCCCATATTCTGCTTGTCTTGAACCAATGTGTATGCTGCTATATGTGGCTAGCTCTGCTTCCTAGCCGGCTATCTGTATTTCACTGGCAACATACAGTGCAATGACCACAAGAGATGAACATCCCTCACATCAGCTTCAAGGAAAACACAAGTCGGAACGACCAAATCCACAATTAAATCAATATCTTTAATTATTACATAATAATAAACTGTCCCCTGTCACCTAAACATACACTAGACTAAATGACTTTATTTTCCGGATGTTGTACGAAATAACCTGAGTCAGTGTATGTTTCTTTAGCTCCTATGTGTTTACCTTATACAACGACATTTTGCACCAGAAAGCCGAACACCTAAATAAATTTTGAGCCCACATTTAAATTGTACGCTTGAAGTAAACCATACAATCGGAACTCATTTCAAGCCTGAAAATATCTTTACCTGCCAAAATATTAAAACACGCAAGAGTAAATTAATTGCGGTTACTAAGTACGGTAGCGGGCTCATCTGTTTGACCAAGGCCCGGAAAATGTCTCCATGGCACAAGGAGTTAAAACAGTACTTCACACACGCACCAACAGAGATTAGAGCTAATAATGTTCTTATTTGATACTCCTTGCACCAAAAAAAAAAGCCAGATTTCAAGCAAATTATTAATAACTAATACGTGTTCGTAAACAATTTTAAAAAGACTGTTTATTTGTCTATTATATAGTTGCATTTGATGCTTTTCATTGGATGTTATTTGTTTTAATAACATTCTATGGGCTTTGTTAATCTAGCAAATGGCTCAGATTTAATGTTGCCAAAAGTAATATGTCAAAGTTTCAATTTATGATATACCCTTAAGTTTTCAATCTTATGAAAAGATTTGATTTTAAAACAGTTGCGACTGCTTAAGTATGAGCATTAATTAGCTACGGTGCAAGAAATGGGCCCATTAACACAAACAACATAACTTATAGAAAGATGAGAAGAAAAAACAAACAGATAACGCTCCATCCACGTCTACACGCCTTTTTCGAGGAAGACTCCTAAAGTGTGAACATTTTGAATCATACGGAATTGATAGATGAATTTAAAATTGAACTTACTTATATGGAAGACATTTTAGAACAATAAGAAGTGTTATAACAAAATTCACTAAGATGAACATGCTTTTGATGGACAGAGAAAAAAAAATGAACTAAGTCCTAACTTATACATGTTACAAACTTTGGATAGTTACAATCACTTATCAGAAATTAGCAAAGGCATTTAAAGATAAGCATGATAATAGAATCCTGCGTTGGATCAATTTATAAAAAAAAGATTTTTAAACTATTAATTTTTTTAAATTTTTGTTGTGGATGATATAATAGTTGATGATTGATTTCTTGAAGACTTGTTGGTGAAGAAGAACGAGAAAACTCTATGATTTTAAACATGAAAGGCTCAATAATCAGGGTCTAATTTTGTCCAGATTTTAAGCAAGCACTTGATGCAATATACTGCATAATATTTATGGCTAAAACGTTATTGTATACTTTTTCTTTCGGAACTTAGACCGCTCCGGTGGCCTAGAGGCGAACGCGTCCATCTTGGATACGAAAGCTCCCCGGTTCAAATCCCGGCTGAGTCATACCAAAGACATGTAAAAATTATACTAACAGATGCCTCGCTAGGCGATCAGAATTTAGATTAGTTAGTGTTCGGAATTGTGTGCCCGATGTGAGGATAATGTGATAGTGTGAATTAGGATTCCACATGTCTTCGGAATGATGCCTCAATGGAGGACCGTAGAGACCTATCACAAGCTTTGGGGTAAGAAGCACCCAGGCCTTTCCTAAGTCTTGTTCAAACAAAATTTTTCTGTTATAAAATTAAAACGTGTTGTTCGGTCCGGGCTCCCTTACCGGCCCGGGCCCCTGGGATATATTCCCGGTTGCTTCTTCCCTTTCCTTTGTCGTCCCTTTCTCAGTGCTATACATCGCTGTAAACTGCCACGCTGCAACTATCGTAGCGATATGACTATATATTGATAAAGCTACATTAAAGATCAAAATCACACACACAGACACACACACAAACACACACACACACACACGGTATTTAATACTGCAGTCAGTAAAAGCAGCCTTATAAGGGAGATAAATTTTGTACATTCCAAAACGAATACAGGTACGAGTTATTTACTGCATAAAGATAAGTTGCCTAAACATACAAATTCTCTAGATTTTTTTTATTTATTTTTTTTATTTTTTTTTTTGAGATTCATGTAAAAATGATATAAAATTATACAAGAACTAAATTGTTGTTTGTAATGTCATTATGTTGAAGTTCAAGTATATGAGGGTGGAAGGGGAAAGTTTCTCAAACGCTACATTATATACATTATATGTGTTAAAACAGTTTATAAAATGACAATCCCAAAATTAGGGTAGAAAATATTCTAGCAATTTGTATTGGCACATTATTTAAATCTAGTATTACATTGTGCCAGGACTTTAATTCAGATTGAGATCAATGACCTTTCAAATGTTAAGGGCAGTTTCTTCAAGTAATCTGTGCCCATATATGATTAAAACTGCCGATTTGAAT